ATCAGGGTGGAGTCCAGGGCAGGGACAGGCTCCTCCCAAGAATCCTGCATCAGGGTTGTGCGAACTCCACACAGGCAAATCTACCCACTGCCTGTCTTTGTAAATAAAGCCTTCCTGGAACATAGCTCTCCCCATCTGGCGACAAACTGTTTTTGGCTACTTTCATACTAAATAACAGAGTTATGTAGTTGCAGCAGGGACTGTCCGGCCCTCCATCCCTAAAATAGTCACCGTTTGTCCCTTTGTAGAACAAAATTGTCAACCTTGCTCTAGATTCCCGTTCTCCTAGTTAGGCTTCCTCAAGCCAGTAGCACGATCACCGTTGCACATCTCTAGGCCTCACCTCAGACCTACTCACTGAGAAATCCTGAGTGTAGGGCCCAGTGATCTGTGTGTAATAAGCCCTTCAGGTGACTCTGAAAACCACCACTCTAGATTCCTGGCTTCGTGGCTAATGACTTGGGGCTTCATGACAGCCAGGCAGACAGGGTCTAGGAGAAACATACCAGGGAATGCAATCAGAAGACAAGGTGGAGGTGGTAGTGTCCCCACCATCCAGAGAATCTCTAATGATGCATCTGAAATATAAATTCCATGAAGGAAGGCACTCACTGTTGTACCCCCACCATCTCGCTCAGCTCTACCTGCGTGTACATTTGTGAGTGAATGAATTCAGGCTTGCGTGGGGCGAGCCAGGCCCAAGATGTGACTGGGGCCTGCACGCGGAAACAGAAAGAGGTACGCCTGGCAGGCGTGGCTCAGGACAAGGCTGAAACCCATTCGTAGCAAGAAAGTATTACTAAAGACTAAAGAACAGAGACATGTTTAAAAACCTGATGATCTGATAAAAATCTAACTTCCATTGAATCTTTTTTAGTCCCCGTTTGCTGCCTTTGGCTGTATATCAGTTCTGCGGGTTTTGTTTTTACCATTTACAGCTCAGCTGTACCTCTGTTTGACCTTACATAATTTACTCAACCTCCCCGAAGCTATTAACTGAATTAATAAATATAAAGCACTCAGCAGTATCTTGTACATTTTCTCTGGTAAGGAAATATATCTTCATATTTCTAGACACAGTCTTATTTCATGGCGAAATAAAGGTTACCAATTACTACTAGTATTTTATTTATATTTACTCCAGTGGTACAACTTTGCTTATCGATATTACTTCTTTGTCTTTAAAGAGATTCCTATCAAAAAGTCCATGCTGCAATATGAAGCCTAAGTTGATATGAATTTGATTATTATACTTTGAGGAACATATCACAAACTTTTTAAAAATACAAAACCTAAGCACTAACAAAATATTTGCTAATATGGAAATAGGTCATTTTGAGGTTCTGTTATGTAGCAAAATATACATGTGTTGGGAAAAAACAGTATCTAAATCTGTCATAATACAGTTTGCTATACAGTTTTTAAATACTCTGTGTGAAGCTTTTTATCTTCACTAGGGTAGAAATTTTACATTTATATGCCTTTTTTAGGACTCCACATACATTATGAACATGTGAAAAAGAAAACAAGATTATTGAGGGCTTTGCTAGGTGAATAAATATTATTTCATGATTTTTCAATGATAACTAAATCTATATTATGTCAAAGAGTCATCAACTTGAAACCTTTATAACTTTTGGCATCGTGACATTTTGAAAGTAAAATTAGTGTTTGGGTTTTTTTTTTTTAATTCCATAAATGCCATGGGAATTTTATCATGTTTCAACACTTGTTGAATATGTAATTCCCATAGTGCCCATTAGTGGCCATCTGTGTAAGGTAATACATGTTTGGGATGAAATTGATTATGGCCTAAACACTCTTGTGTTATGATCAGGAAAAGCATGCAAAGTTCAAATCTTTTTTTTCTAATGATCATTATGTAGCTAAAGATATTAATTTCCAGAGGCAGAACAGCCTATCACTCAAGATCCTAATCTCACAATAAATGACACCAGAGCCAAAGGAAAGGAAGCTGCAGAGACTTCCACTGAAATTAGTAAGTGCTGTGCTCCGGGAGCTCTTAGGATAAAGGGGAAATTAACAGGCTTTGGAACACAGTATTTCCTTTGTCGGGATCAAAGTGGACCCATTGCAGTTTTGCTGAATATTCAGAAATATTTTATTACCCTATTTAGCAATTCCTGTTATCATAGCCACCAACACATAAGTTCACCTTCCTTGTAACTTTTCTCAGCTTATACAGTCATTTTATTTTTGTTAGATTTGTGCATGGTAATGTATACCTGTGTACTTGCTGAGCTCATTTATCCCCTTAGAGTAGAGCTAGGAAATGTACAAATATACTTGGTTATATATTTATAATGGATGTATTCATATCTTGGCACTCACATTATCTACCCCAAGGTTTTATGAAACATATTACAAAAAATAATTTTTTGGTTTAGAAAATTTTGAGAGCTTGTGTTACCGAATTATCCCCATGATCATTTTAAAATCTTATCATGCCTTCTTGTAGAATATTTAATATTTGAACATGGCTATATCCTGGTCTTCGCTGGCATGTGGGCCAGAAAGATCTAGCTGAAAATGCCCTAAAAGCGCTGAAAGAATTGGTAAAATCATTGTCTAAACCTTGAAATACAACAACTGTGATGTTGGTGTAATTGATGCTGAGCTGTTCTTCCTTTTCATTCTTGAACTTCTTGATGATAATTATTCAATCAGGTTATAATAGATTTCAAATCTGCTTCCCATTAAAAGTGATAAAATAATATTGTCTTCTTAAAGAAGAAAATTTGCCTTCCTGTCTTATATGTTATGTACTAAGAAGGCATGTATCAAGTGCTTCTAACAGCTGATTAAGTTATTTGGAATATATTGAAAAGAAAATGGGCTTGCATGCAGCAATACTTAGTAAAATTTGGGTTCTGGAATTCATTTTTTTGGTCATTCACTCAGCAAACATACTGATATAAAGATGAACAAGGCATGGTCCCTACTCTTGAACAAAACTACCAGAGTCATACATCAAATAGCTAATCTTAATATGACAAATTGAGACATGCAAAGAGCAAGAGCAAAGTTCTACCAGCACAGCAGAGGGGAACATTTGTTTTAAGATGTAAAGGAAAGCTTCAAAGAAGCAGCAAGTATTGAGTTTGGCCATACAGGATGAGCCGAGTTTCTCGCCACAAGGCAATAGGGGTGTGTGTGTGTGTGTGTGTGTGTGTGTGTGTGTGTGTGTGTGTGTGTGCGTGTGTGTGTATCTCTACACGCACACACGCATGGACATACACAAATGCATATGCGTGCTCATCTATATTTAAGTATGTGGCAAAGACTGTTGGGGGCCAGTTTAACACCAGTCCCATGCCCCTTTGCCTCTCACCTCCACTATTGAGGGCTGGAAAAGCTAAATGCTAATATTCATGCTTGGCCATGTAACACAGTCTGGCCAGTTGGCCATATCTGGAAATATGCTGAGGACTTTTAGAAGCTTTTGCTTTTCAAATGAGAGACAGGCACAGTTGACATTACCCCCTTTTTGTCTTTCTTTGTGGCTGTTATAATTCTAGCTGTGACAGCCACCTTGAGACACTGCGGGAGATCTGAAGAATGAGTTGAGATATGGTTGAGTCATCAACCTAATACCCACAACTACCTACTTCAATACCACTTATGTAAGGAAAATTACATCTTTAGTTAAGCCATAGTATGTCAGATTTTTCTATATAGCCCAAAGCATTCCTCATTAATACACTCATAAACTGCACACACATGCATTCACTCTTACTTATGTATTGGGTTGTTGGAAAAGTCATGATGTATTTTTTCTGATTTTCGTTGCAAAAATATGTCATGACTTTTCCAACAACCCAATATATTCAACTTTATTTTCCATGCCTACCGACACTTGGGACTAATTTTAGACTTCCATTTTGGTGATCAGTACATAGAACATAGCGTTAGAGAAAAATAGGAAATGGGACGCTTTCTCTGTTATACCAACCTGTACACTATCCTTAGCACTTAGTTCCCTTTGTATCTATTCTGATATTTTAAATAAGAAATGAAGGCAAGAAGGGAGAAGAAGGTTGAGAAGAAGGATAAATGCTGAAGTGGATCATGCTAGAGTATGGGGAAATGGGGTAAGACTGAGAGTCAATTGATTGTGGCTTGCAGAGAGAGCACAGTGGGGAAGGGTGCCCAGCTAGAGAAAATGCCTGGTCACATGATGGAAAGAAAGGTTTAAATCCTAGTCCATCACTGCATTCCTATGTTTTCAAGACCAAGAAAATAACATTACCTGTGTCCCTAACAGCCAAGAGATTCTCTTTTTCTCCTCCAGTTCAAAGGTGAGAGTAGAAACAATTCATCTCTCTGAGAGATTAGAACAGCTTTCCACAGAGCATATTGGTGTGATCGGTCTTGTATGAAAGATACCATCTAATGAGCAAGAAATCGCGAATGGACTCTGACCTTCTGCTATGCAAATGTGCAACAGTTTGAAAAACACTCAACCTGTTCTTTTTTTATAGAGACTAATGCAATCACTTTGTTTATTATTCATCATTTCTAATAGTATGTGTCGTGTGTGTGCCTTTCCTGACACTGCATCAAACTACAATTTAATGGTATCAACATCTATCCTTATTCTTTTTCAAACAGGTCAGCAAGATTGCTCCTTCACTGTGGGGGTCTTCCATAGTCTTTTGTTTTTTTTTCTTAGCTTGTTTCTTTTAAATAGACTTTTGATTCCCCCTTTCTATATTGTTGTTGTTGTTGCTTTTAGAATCAGTTTCTTACCTTAGAGAGAAGTAAGATAAGATAGATAGCCTCAGTCTCCTGCCAAAAGTACTGAATGAAAGTCAGGGATCTTTAAGAGAGAAAATTCAATGGAATCATTGGAATTTACACTAACGTCCATGATTTACTATTCATCTTTGTTTTAAAAGCATATACACACTTCAGTTTTTTGGTCTTAAAGAATCTAAACTGGTTTTCTTCTTAATGTGTTTGCCACTTGTCTTCTCTAGAATCTTCAGCTACTTGGAGCTACAGCCATTGAGGATAAATTACAAGATCAAGTGCCTGAGACCATAGAAACTCTGATGAAAGCAGACATCAAACTCTGGATCCTGACAGGGGATAAGCAAGAAACCGCCATCAACATTGGTAAGCCGCCTAATTCAGACTTTAAATTGTGATGCTTTTTAACAGGTTGATACAGTTTAGAAGACAAATTTAATATGTTTTTTAAGATTTGAAAGATTTGGTATTGTAATATGTCCATATTTGTATTATTGGGCTTATCTATCTGTGATGGCCTCATTGCCCCTTTAAAATTGCAGTGGTTATAGACCCAGCCAAACTTTTGCACTTGCAGCCACGTGGCACCCTCTCTCCCCTGTGAGTGTCTGCCTACCCCCACATTCCATCCACCACTGGTATGTGTAGGTAACATTTCTGCAGTTGTCTGTGAAAGTCTAGAGATTGGCATCATGGCAAGCTGTGTATTAACAATTGTATGTGGCCCAAGTTTACTTCTGAGATAGGAAGTAAGAAGGTTGCCAGTTCCCATTCATTCTACAATTCACTCAGTGTTTTGGAAAGAGGTTATGTTAGTTCAGTCTGCCATAACAATACTGCAGATGAGGTGGCTTACACAACAGGAATAAATTGTCTCACAGCTTTGGAGACTGGAAGTCTAAGATAGAAGTGTCATCAGGTTTGGTGTCTCCTGAGGCCTTACAGATGACCCCCTCTCACTGTCCTCACAGGCTTGTCCTCCGTAGGTGTGCATTCCTGTTGTTGCTTCCCCTCCTATAGCGACACCAGTGCTAGTAGATCGGGGCTACAACTTTATAACCTCACTTTAACTTCTTAAAGCCCCTACCTTGAAATACAGTCACTGAGAAGAAAGTTAGTATTCGGTGTTAAAAGCCTATAGTACCAGTAATGTGCAACAAAATGTCACTCCTTTTTTCCCCAAATTCAGTAATAGTAGGTTTCCTGAGCACTGTAAACCCTGACATGGACTCAACCTCTGGATATTAATGATAATGAATCACATACAAAACTCTCCCAAAGTTGAAGAACCTATTTCAGATTTTTCTCATCTGTTCACAGCATGAAACCACATTTTTAGAAAGTCGTTATTAAGTATCATCTGTCTAAAAAAAAACATTTAGCTAATATTCCTTTTAGAAGTGTTAGTAATCACAGTATTCTGTATATGTAAAACTGCAAATTTATCCTAAATTGATATTAATAGGAAAAGTAATGTTTAAAAAACACTAGATGTTTGAATCTATAAGCCACACAAGTTGTTAATTTTGATTATATGTGTTATCACTGGTGTTAGAGACAAAATGCAAAGAAGATGTACAAGAACACAGAATGCATTCGGATTGGCAGACCTGAAAACCACAAATGTGATATAACATGACTGCAGGTAGAGGGAGAACACATGATGGTAAAGAGTGACATGTGAGGAAAATAAGAAATCCTAAAAAATAGCTCAGGATGTATAGCTATTATGAAAGGTCCTACAAAAAAAAAAAGCAGTATGGCAATGGTTTCTAGTCACACTTACCTTTTAGAATCTTGTTCCTAGAAAAAGGTAGGTAAGAGTCATTCATTCAGCAACTGGTTATGGTACCTATGGTGTCAGGCACCAGTTCAGGGCAGGAAACAAAACCAAACTCTCTACCCTCCTGGACCTCAGGAACAAACAGTGAAGTAAAACACATAGTATATTATGCAATAATTGTCAGGAAGAAAAAGCAGGAATGGAAATTATGGCATTGCGCAGATGGACTGAGTTTTAAATCAGGAGGTCAGGAAGACCTCATTGAGCAGGTGACATTTGAGGAACAACTTAGGAGAGATAGCTTGTCACTTGGATGGTTAACGGAAGCTGTCTTCTGCAGAAAAGGAGCAGAAATGCAAAAGGGAAGAGCAAGAAAAGAGGTCAGCAGCGTAACAGAGCTCAGGTTGGTTTGGGCCTCCTAGGTCGTTGTCCGGACTTGGCGTTGACTCTGAGTGAGATGGGAAACCACTCCCAGCTGTCTTTTGGCTATGTTAGGTGTGAGATGCCAATTTTATACCTAAGTGTATGCTATTAAGTAAGCCCTGGGATGTGAGAGTCCAGAGTTCAGGAAAGAGGTCTTAGCAGGAGATACGAGTTCCAGAACGGTCAACATTGAGATTGTATTTAAAGATGGGAAGGAATGAGATCACAGAAGACGTGAGTATAGATGGTATTAAATGAGACCAGTCAGCAGTGTTGCCTGTTTTTCTCCAGCCACATCCAGCCGTAGGCAAACAGCTTCAGAGTAAGTAGAGTTGGTGTAATCAGCCAGTGATTTTTGTCTTGCATCAAGTACAGCAAAGCAAGAAAGGGCAGGAAACTAGAGGACGTGATGGCAGTCGAAGGGCAGAGAGATGGTAGGGGGATTAATGGTCCCAACAATAGCCAGGCTACCATCCCTCTCCCTTCTCAGGAAACAACCATCAGCCCATCTTCTGCTCTTCATGTTGATCTTCATGGTGGATTTTCCATCTACATTTGTTAGTTTTCAGGACATTGAGAATCATTACCACCATCTCTCCACATTTGCTTATCAAGGCAGCCATAACACACCAGGTCTTGTCCTTGTATTATACGCCTCCCTAGCAAGCAAGAGCTCTGCTTTTTTAACTTCCTGCAAACCTGGAAAAGATCTGACTGGCATCTTCCTAATAAAATAGATACAATTTTATCTAATAAAATAGATTAAGAATAAAATGTAAGGGCCGGCCAAGTGGCTCAGTTGGCTAAGAGCTCGCTCAAGAGTGCGAGCTCTGAGCAACAGCAGTTTGATTCCCAGCCCAAGCTGAGCTGCCAACAGGTGGCAGAATGGCTCAGCTAAAAAAAAAAAAGAGATATTTTTATAGTATTGTTACTTTAACATCTCCACCTCTTCTTTCTAGAGAAATTAATTACATCAATTAATTTACTCTCTGTTTGGACATAGGGCACTCCTGCAAACTTCTGAGGAAGAACATGGGAATGATTGTTATAAATGAAGGCTCTCTTGATGTAAGTAAAATTGTCTTTTTAAAAGATCCTTTAACAACTTAATCACCTTTTAATATTCTGCTTTATATTCAGATAGCTGTGAAAATATTTTATCTTTCTGAGGTTAAAAGATGCCCTAATACTATTTTTCTGTAACGTAATGTACACTGTTGTAAACCACATTGATGTAAACAGATTTAGTTGTCTGTGACAACTAAAAGAAATTGCTTAATGTTGTGAGACAGAAAAGCTGCATTATATCAACAGGTTACTGAGCGATTATAACTTGTTTGTATCTATCAGGGTATTTTGTATATTAAGCATTTAATATTCTGCTTTATCTCCCAATGATAATATGTATTTTGCTTCTTTTTCTTTCTTTTTTCAATTTAATTTTATTATTAGTTTCAGGTGTACAAAACAACATAATGATTAGACATTTACACCCACAAAGTGATAACCCCCCAAGTCTACTACCCATCTGACACCGTACATAGCTATTACAATACCACTGACTATATTCCCTATGCTGTACTGTACATTCCATGACCACACACACACACACACACACACACACACACACACACACACACACATATTTAATCATAGTTGATATTCCAATATTATTTTATATTAGTTTCAGGTGTGCAGCATAATGGTTAGGCATTTATATAATCTATGAAGTTATCCCCCGATAAGTCCAGTACCCATCTGACACCTTACATAGTCTTTCCAACATTATTGATTATATTCCCCATACTGTATTTCACATCCCCAATAAATCAGAAATAGACTCAGAGATATTTTTGCTTTTTAAAAAAAAAGCTGTGAAAGCTATTGAACAACACAAAATAATCATTCCTAATAGGAAAGTTGTGGGGGGTTTTTTTAATGTTCTAACTTCTGGACTGAAATATAAATTCCTAGAATGTCTTTTTTTTCATGGCTGTGACCACTTGAATTTATATTTGGGAAAGGGGGAAAGATTTGATAAGTGTACAGTATAAAGTAGAAGGTAACAAAAAAATATGTAGGTCAGAAAACCTGTAAATATTTTAAAGTAAAGGTGACTATTTGTAATTTAAGGTGGAAGACAGAACAGGAGAGGTGATTATACAAGTGCCTGAAATAGTCATTGTGACAAAGAGCAGAGCAAAGAAAATCTGATAATTAGGGTTGTTGGTGAAGCCACGAAGCCAAATATGCAGAAGAGACAGTCAAGAGGCAAACGTTTAGAAGTCAGGTATAGAACAGAAATTCTGTGTAAGAAGCATTTGACTTCCAATTTTTAAATTGGAATGATGATCTCTTCATTATTTGTCCTCAAAACAGTCCTTGCAATGCCATTCCCTTTCTTCTGAAATCTTTGAGCAACGTGTAGCCTAGGTAGGAATAATACATGATTCTGCAAACATGAAAGTTGCTTACACCTTTAATTATTGGAGGAGTACTTTTTGTGAACCAAGTTTTAATCCTAAAAACACAAACCAACAAAAGCCAGCCTGCAGTTGGAAGACTTTCATTTTTATTATATTTATTGAATAGGCCCCCAGATAGGCACTGAGAACACACCACTAAACAAAACACATGGGCTCTGCCCTCTTAGAACTTAGAGCTGTCTCAGTTCTCCACCCCTCATATGTATTAGTTTTGGTTTATTATATCCAAGTTACCATGTTGTGAAAATTTATAACTAGGACAGCCCAGCCCTCCCAAAGCTTACAGAATAATAAGGGAAGTAAAATGCATATGAGTAACAGTGCAAAACAGATACATAAACAAAGCAGGTCTTTGCTGTGATAATATTGTTTAGGAGTATGTATAAAGTGCCATCAGGTTAGATAGAGGTGAGTAATTTGGGGAGGGGTAGGGGGAGTTACCTGAAGCAGAAAGTTATTGCAAGTAAGTTCAGGGCATATTTGGGGCATGAAAAAGGAGCATTGAACTTGAGCACAAGGTTATAATTTTTCCAAGTAATTTTTGTTTGAATGAATATAGGCACATAATGTAAGACTCAAGTCACAAAAAGGGAAAAGTACAGATGCTAAAAAGTGTATATCCCAGCCTTATACCCAAGCTACCCGGTTTACTTCCCTAGAGACAACCACTAGTGATAGTTTCATTTACGTTCATCCAGAGATATCCCGCCATATCTATGGGGTATATATGTATGTGTCTATGCACACGTCTTTTGTTGTTAAACACAAATGGCAGCATCTTGCCCACGCCACTTTGTACTTTGCTTTTCTCATTAAATGTGTCTTAGCAATTTTCTGTAATAGTAGGTATGAAGCCACCTAACTCGTTTTTAATGGTGCCCCAGTATTTATAAGGTACCTCTAAAGAAATGACACAGGGAGTTAAAATTGGAAACGTAATCTCAGGTCACGTGAGGGAGGCTGGGCCAGGTTTGAGAATTTTCCCTCAGAGGCACAAAGAGCAACTTCATCAGCCTCCTAGAAGAGGTAAGGCGTGTAGGAACGACTGTACATAGGCAAGTTCGGAAGGGCAGGAAGGCATGGGGTGCAGGCAAAGGACCAGGAAAAAGAGTTCGGTAAGAGGACATGGGGCCACCAGTGCCCGAGATGTGGTTTGAGAGAAATGTAGGGAGACCTGTCCCACAGGGTCCCTGGAGAAGGAGACAGAAGAGTGGCTCCAGAACTGAGTTGCAGTTATTCACAACATTGCAAAACCCTCCATTGGAAACATCCTATAGCCCCTGTAGATGTTTAGGCCTTGTCAGCAACATGGGGTATACATGGTACATGGTTTTTCTGACACTTGAGGGAAATCAGTAGTAGGAGCTGTGACACTGAAGCCAAGGCATGGCAAGCCGTGCTTGATTTGACATATGATCCCTTTGATCGGGATTTAGGCTGTCAGCTAATGCAGAGGGTGATAGCATTGTTTATTTTGTTTTCATCTGCTTCATCTTTTTTCTCCAACTTTTAAATGCACATGTTCTTTAAGTGGCTTAAGTATCAAGTGATGTAAATAGTAATCTCAAGGGAAAAAAGTGAAATGCCAAAAATATTCAATGTATTGCATCATGTATTGTGAAGACGGTGGCATTTATTTTCATTTTGAAGTTTCCAAGATGGTAACTCAATAGTTATAATCACCCTGAAAGGTATGTGCCCTGCCTATTTATACTGGAGCAAACATAGAAAGGTGTCTCCATGGGATACTCAGTGTCAGTGAAAGCCGGGACCACGTCTGTCTATTTTGGTTTTGTTGCAATTTTTTGCCCAGCAAATTGCCTAGCACCAAGTAAGGACTCCATAAATATTTGAGAAGTGAGTCACTGAGTAATTTTAAATTAAGGGCTTTCTTTAATAAAACAACAGGTTGTATATCAGTTTTAAATTTGATCGTAATCAATCGTGTCTAATATTTTCAAAGGAAAGTGGCTAGAAATGTCCTTAGCAATTTAAGTGACAGTTTGGTGTGGAAGACCACAGGCAAACTCTGTGGCTAAGTGAATTAACACTGATTGGCCCAGGGCCAGCTGAGTGGCTCCGCTGGTTAAGAGCTCGCTCAAGAGTGCGAGCTCTGAGCAACAGCGTCGCTGGTTTGATTCCCAGCCCAAACTGAGCTGCCAACAGGTGGCAGGATGGCTCAGCTAAAGAAAGGGGGGAAAAAAAACACACTCATTGGTCTAGACTACCAAGCATCCTTGAGCTGCTCTCTGCAGGAGGTTTTTCTCCAAGGGATTTAAGTCATAGTGACTTTACAAATCAAGCTGTTTAGAGCCAGGTGGGTATGGTGCACGCATTGCTTCTCAGCAGGAAAGGAAACATCACTTTGCATAGCTCCTTCAGATCTCATGTCATAAAACCCATGGCTGAGATTTCAGGCAAATCATTAGATGTGCAGGAATGCCTGTAGGTAAATCATTGTTTATTTTTTCATTGCCTTGGAAAAGAAAAGCATCCTGCTCTCAGATTGTACTGATAATAATAAAATATGGGCTTATCATTCCATCAACACAAAGAATAATTAACACGTAGGTAGTAAAGTTAGATACATGTCTTAGAAATAATATAATAGGAAATAAATGGAGGGTGTGTGTTTTGTCAAGTGACAATTTTAACGAGTGTACTCAAATTATTCCATGAAATAGCACAGTGGTTAAGAACACCGTTCTGCCCCACCCTGCGCAGGAAACCCTGGGCAAGCTGGAAATTAGATAACTTCTTTGAGCCAGTTTTGCTGCCTATAGAGTGAAGATAATGTTACTCTTGGCACAGTATGGTTAACAGAGCACATGACACATATAAAAAGATGTTATGAAATTTTGTGGAAAAAGAATATTGCAATAGCTATAAGTTGTTTTATATAATCATTTTTATTACAAAAGATATATTATTTTCCCATCTTTTAATCTTTTTCCTAAGATAGCAAGTTATAAATTTAGATCTTCTTTTGCGTAAGTGATGCATATTGCTATAAACTGTTCAAATTTTCTACCCAAGTGTTATTACTAATACTGTTAAAATTTTAAAGCTGAATCTTTTTTTTATGTTGAACTTGTATGAATAAAGTATCATATTTGAGGCTCTTAAATTTCCAAGTAGAAAAACCTTTCTCCTGGCGTTCATGGTAATAAAAACCTTTGTCTTCCCATAACCCAGCTCATCCCCCCAAAAAATGCCATTTGGCTTTCTAATTTTTTCATTTTGAGTTTTAATATGATTATTCTTGAAAAATTAATGGCTGTTCAGCATTTTTTTAAACCTTTAAATAAACGTATAAAACCAAACTACAGTTGAAAATGCAAACAAACAGAATGGAAGTCTTCCTCTCCAGATCTAACATGGAACCTCTGAATGACTTTTCTGCCTCTGCCCACGCAGCTCCTTTCATAGCAAGAGAAGCACCCACAGCCAGTGTGATGCCCAAGAGCAAAGCTGGGTGCTCACCCCGTAACCTACCAAGCTACTGTCAGGTGCTGATAGAGTCAGAAAAAGAGTTTCTTAGAAAGTTTGATCACATATATATTTTTTTGATTTAGAAAGGAA